GGAGAGACAAGGCCCTTCCGATGGATGGAGGGCGGACAGACGGACCGCAGGCAGCACTTGGGAGGCTCTCCGCCGCCGCTCCGCTTTCCGCGCCGCCTGAGGAGGGCTAGGAGCCAGAAGCCAGAAGGGGGCCCTTTTTATGGCCCTTCCTTCCCCGCCAGCCCCACCTCCGCCAGACAGGGCCTCCTCCCTCCCTCCCTCCCTCCCTCCCTCCCTCCCCAAACCCTGCCTGAGAAGAGCCGCCAAGAGTGTGCCTTGCTCCTCTCCTTTGCCTTCCTGGAGAGACCGGCCTCTTCCTTCCCCAGCCATTGAGTTCCAGGCATTCAGTCCAGCTTTCTTCTCCTTAGTGCCCTTTCAGTGCTCTCTGTATGTGCAAAGATAACACAACAGCTGAGCACAAAAGTTAGAACCATACAAGCCAATTGTACATTCCCTATTACCAGGTCTGGATGGGAGAGCTGAGAGCTGGACAGTTAAGAAAGGTGATAGGAAGAAAAGCAGTGCGTCTGGGATGTGGTGCTCAATGTAGCACCATGGACAGACAAATGGGTCTCAGAGCAAATCAGACCAGAAACCTCCCTGGAAGCCAAGATGACCAACCTTAGGCTGCCATACTTTGGACACATCATGAGAAGGCATGAATTTTTGGAAAAGGCAATAATGTTAGAAAAGGTGGAGGGAAGTAGGAAGAGAGGAAGGCCACATGCCAGATGGATGGACTCTATTAAAGAGACCATGAGAATGACTTTGCAGGAGTTGGGCAGAGCAGTGGAGGACAGGGGGTCTTGGAGATGTCTCATCCACAGGGTCACTATGGGTCGAGATCAACTCAACAACAACAACAACAACAACAAACTTCCCCCAAAGAGTAGAAGGAATGCCACAACCCACCATTTCTTTCTGGTTGTCTTCATTCTCCGGGGGGGGGGCTTTCACACAATTAGAATATTACCATCCCACTTTAACAGCTACAGCTACATTTCACCAATTCCTGGGATTAGCAGTATAGGAAGGGGCCTTGGGAATTCACACTCGCAGAGCTACTGTAGGAGTGCCTCTGTTGTTGTTAATTATGCAGTCAGTCCCATTTCATGACAACCCTGTGGATGAGACATCTCCAAGCCCCGCTGTCTTCCACTGCTCTCCTTAAGTGCTGTAGATTCAGGCCCAATGCCTCCTTGATTGAGTCCATCCATCTGGTGTGTGGTCTTCCTCTCTTTCACCTTCCTTCCAGCTTTCCCAGCATTATTGTCTTTTCTAGTAAGTCATGCCTTCTCATGATGTGGCCAAAATATGACAGCCTCAATTTGATCATCTTGGCTTTCAGGGAGATTTCTGTTCAAGGACCCATTTGTTTGTCTGTTTGGCTCTCCACAGTATCCTCAGCACTCTTCTCTAGCACCACAGATGGATTGATTTTCTTATCTCCCTTTTTTTACTGTCCAGTTTTTGCATCTGTACATGGTGATGGAGAACATAAAGGCTTGCACAATTCTAACTTTAGTGCTCAGCTGTTTATCTTAACTCTTTAGGATCTTTTCTAGCTGTTTCATGGCTACCCTTCCCATTCCTAATCTTCTTCTTAATTCTTGACTGCAGGCTCCATTCTGAGCAATGTTTGATCCAAGCTGTGGGAACTCTTTTACTATTTCAATTTCCTCATTGTCTAGGTTGAGTTTACATATTTCTTCCAAAACTATAAACCCCAGGATTACACAGGATGTCGTCAGAGCAATTAAAGTGGGGTCAAGTGCTATGGTTATGTAGTTTGAAGAAAGGCAAACCTTGGAAGAAAAGCAAACCAGTTGTTTCTACTTGATTGAGCTTTTCATTAGCACATTTCAGAGGATAGGCCTTTGTATGATACTTAAATCTGGGAAATACATGACTTTATGGTCCTTTATTCCATTTAATTGATGGTTGGAAGTTTTATTTTAAAATATAATTTAACTCTACCTTATGTGCTACAATATGTAATACAACATAACTAAAGGATCTGGATATAGATATTGTTGGGTATTTTAAAACTGGCACTTTTTTCATACTGTTGCCATGTGCCTTCTGAGTTATGACAAACCCTATCAAGGGGTTTTCCTGGCAAATTTCTTCAGAGGGGTTTTGCCATTGCCATCCTCTGAGGCTGATAGATTGTGACTTGTCCATGGTCACCCAGTGGGTTTCATAGCTGTGTGAGGATTCAAACCTTGTTTTCCAGAGTCATTGCTCAAATCACTACACCACATTGGCTCATGTAATCCTTTTCTAAATATGAAATGGGATCAGAAACCAACTTAATTGCCAACCCATTAGTAAAATTTGATCGATTTCTTGTAAAAAAAAATTAAGTTGTAAAATTAAGTTGCCAAAATTAAGTTGTAATTTTGAATGAGAATCTGCTTCATAGGTGATTCTGTGGGTTTTCCTTCCTCATAGCAACTTTACAGCCCTATTCCCCCAAAGCCCTGCCAATGTTTGAGTGTTGGATGACAACTCTGGAGACTAGGATTCAAATCCCCATTCAGCCATGGAAACCTACTGGTGACCTTGGGCAAGTCACACACTCTCAGCCTCAGAGGAAGGCAAAACCAAACCCCCTCTGAACAAATCCTGTG